AATAAATTTTTATATGCACAGGTCGAAAGATATGACGTCGTTTCAAACAGGAGAGCATAAGCAGTGTGGAGATGTTTGCATGGCAGAAGTCAGAAAAAAAAGGAAGACGTCATTGTTTGCGACCAGTATTTATACTATGTAGGTGCGCATGTGAAGCAAGCTGCGATTGTCAATTTTAGTTACCCCTTTTGAGCAGTGACATGCAGCTTGGAAAGATCTCGAATTTGGGAGAAAGGATGAACTTGGAGAACATAAAATCTAAAATAGTCAGTTTTGAGGTTGCCAGTTATTTCTTAGAGAAGCCATCATATTTTATTATATATATATATTCTTGTAGATTATTAAATATATTATCTCCTTTGAAAATAAAGTAGTTAAGTTAGAATTCTATTAAAATGAATTTACACATTAGCATATTTAAAGCTGAATTATTAAAATGAAAAAATTAAAAGCGAAAATGCAACCAACAAACTAAGTATTTGTCACCATTGACAGGGAAATTAATTGACTTTTCAAGGACAACAAACTAATTTCTGATCAGTTAACAATAATTAATAGATGTGAAAGTGTTCCATCTTTTTCTAGAGTAAGAATCAAAACTAAAAAAGTTGTTCATGGTTGGCATACGTTTTTATTTAATCCAACAAAAATCAAATTTGTGCTATTGTGCCTTGCTCTTAAAGAATGCTTTACATCAGATAAACTTGAAAAATATATTTTTGAAGGCAGCAGCACATTGCTATAGTGAAGCGAAGAGAGCAAAGAGAGGCAACCAAAAAGAAAAGCATGATTGTGAAGCAAAGATCTTTTACACCAAGCCATGATTGCATTCAGCAAATTACATTTCGAATCGCATTACAAGGATGTTTACATTAAGAACATTAAGTTTCAGATACATAACAGATTAATATTTTGATGCTGGGTTAAGATTTCAGCACATTCCATGAATAATTGCACAATAGAGGTTAAATGATGGGTCACTTTTCATAATTAAAGATTTTGTTAGAAGAATTATTAGAAATTTTTTAGAATAAAGAGAGCAGCATGCTCAAATTTAAAATAGGAGTTAAATAGCTATTGTTAATTAGATTATTAGAAAGATAGATATTTTATATTTTACCTACACACACATATATATGCCTTGACAATACTTCTGAAATTGCTGTAAGTAGGTTGATGAGTCATCGTGGGGGAACAATGAAGTGGTTAAGAATATATGCTAGACCCATAACTTGTGTATCTGGTTGAAAAAAAAAAGAAAAGCAAGATTGTGAAGCAAAGATCTTTTATACCAAGCCATGATTGCATTCAGCAAATTACATTTCAAATCACATTAGAAGGATGTTTACATTAAGAATATTAAGTTTCAGATACATAACAGATTAATATTTTGATGCTGGGTTAAGATTTCAGCACATTTCATGAATAATTGCGCAATAGAGATTAAATGATGGGTCACTTTTCAGAATTACAGGAAGTAAAGATTTTGTTAGAAGAATTATTACTTTGCTGTTTTTAGAATAAAGAGAGCAGCATGCTCAAATTTAAAATAGGAGTTAAATAGCTATTGTTAATTAGATTATTAGAAAGATAGATATTTTATATTTTACCTACACACACAGATATATATATGCCTTTACAGCACTTCTGAAATTGCTGTAAGTAGGTTGATAAGTCATCATGGGGGAACAATGAAGTGGTTAAGAATATATGCTAGACCCATAACGTGTATCTGGTTGAAGAAAACAAAAAAAAGAAAGTCTTGCAGACTTCCACAAGAATGATTGGTTTAAGTTTGGTGGGATCTCTCATAGTCCACAGTAAAGTGGATACTGGTGTAAATCGTGTAGTTTACATGTGCACTTTGTCCTTATTTTGCAGACATCTAGCTCATTTCCACATCATTAGGTAAAATCTCTCATGTCAAACTCTATGAGATCATTTTAACTTCTTTTTATTTCTAAATATAGTTATCTATTGCTAAAGCATAATTCCTATTACTATTCATAATGCTTAAAGTGTGCCAGATAATGCTAGTTGCTTTTGTCTGCTGCTCATGTTTGAAACATTCAAACTGGACTTTAATTTGTATAGCATAACAGTTCATACCAGCTGTTGGTTAAATCGTATTGATTATTTTTGGTTATATTTTAGAAAGGTTTTAATAATATGTATTCCAACTATATTTGCTTATTTTCTCAATCATGTCTACACAGAACAAAACCATACTTAGTAGGATGCATAATTTGATACAGTACTAAGAAGATTAATACCTGTTATATAAAACTTAGGTTTCAATTACACAAAAATGTACATGTATGATAATCTTATTAATATTGTAGAGTTTCTACTAGTTTCTGGGATAAAAGATAAAGTTGGATACATTTTTATCAAGTGCTCATTTTAACTTTGGATACATATATAATTGAGTTGCACATCAACTAGGCAATGGTATTTTAAGTCATAATTTACCCATCTGATAATTTTTAACTTAACTATTTTATATGGTTAATATTTTTTTTTTTTCCCATGTAATTTGCAGAAGCACTACAGATAGGAGCATCACAGTTTGAGCAACAAGCAGGAAAACTGAAGAGCAAATTTTGGTGGAAGAATATGAAGGTAAATCAATCATGGCCTTTTTAAATGGTTTCAAAATTTAATTATTTACCTCTTAAAAGAAACTTGAATTTAAACAGACTATGCAGATATATTGTTTAGCTCATCTGAAAAGTTATGCTGTTTTTTTTATATTAAATTCAAATGAAGCAGTATGAAAACATAAGGAACTTTCATTGAATTTCATAAACATTATTTTATCCTATGATTCTTGGCATCCCTCAAGCAGTTGAAAAATTCCTTTTTAAAAAAAAAAAAAAAAAAAAAAAGTCATTAGGTTTATTCATAAAGAAATTATTGATGTGCTGTTTTACCATTTCTAAAGAAGTGAATACTAAGTCTTTCATAGATTTTTGAAGTGCCCTGAAGAGATTGCAAGGTATTCGAGGTGGCACAAAACGTCTTAGCCATGCTCGAAAGTTTTTGTCTAGCATTCATTAATAATGGGCTGAGCATTGTCATGATGGACACTTTGAAGGTTGGTTAGTTGTGGGTGCTTTGCTTCAATTTTTGTTTTTAAAATTGTCATTTGAAACAATAGTTGAATTTATTGTCTGATTTGGTGACAATAATTCATGGTATACAGTCCCACCATACACAAAGCATTACTGTTTTGGCCTGCACTCACCACCTGATGTTACTAAAGGAGGTTCTTTTTGCATACCCCATGATCTTTTTCTTTAAACATTATTGTATAGTATTCACTTCTCATCTCTTATAATAAGCTGTTTCAAGACAGGAGCTTATATATATATAACCTTGCAAATAATCACTTTCAGAACTTCAAGTATGGGATAGACGTACATCATAGTAGCATATGTAATTAATCTTCCTCAAATAATCATGTACTGTACTTTTTGGAATATTTAGTGTGTCCGATAATTCCTGAACTGTATAATTTGGATTTTCAATGATGGTTTCTTTTACTGGCATCATGTTTACAGAGGGTGAACGTAATCTTCGAGCTTGAAATTTCCGTGCTTTATCCTCTCAAATGAGCTTTGAAGTGGATGAACAGAAACAGCACGTTCTCCATACATAGCACAAATTTTTAGTCAAGCAGTTCAAATACCTTTAAAAAAATTAATAATAAAAGAATATAATGTCATGGAATTGAATTTTTAGGTTCTGCATTGTTAGAAGTGCATTGAAGCAAAAATTTTGCCACAATACGTGTTTAAATCATGCAGCATTATAATTTCATTAACTTTTGCTTCAATCAAGATCACTTTGTATGAGCAATAACAAAATAAATAGATGAAAACATGCTTCGATTTGAAAAACAGAAGACTTTTGGGGATGACTCAGTGTATAATACAAATAATTATGAAGTAATTATTTCATTCTATTTTAAAACATTGTGAAATTGTCTTTTCTTTCATTATACAAGATTTTTAGCCAGTGTGTCAAATTTGTAGTATTAGTGCTTTAGTGTTCATTATTTTTTATTAACCATGTAGTTATATATTTCAGTTATGAATATTATTTATGCTTGCACTTAGGCTAGTATAGTGTTTATAATATTAATAATTTATTCTCGTTAATTACAGATGATCATTATTATGGTTGTTCTTGGAGTATTTATTGTTGGAGTTATTGGAGGTAAGTGGTTATTGTAATTTGTATTATATAATGCACCACATTTAAAATAAATTTTTTCTTATAAGGTGCTGTTTTTGGATAGTCAGAATAGTATTACTCTTGAGTATAGTTTAATGTATAATGATAAAACTTAATACTTTTCAATTAAGGTTTTCATGCTCTTTATTTATTTATTTTTTTATTATTATTATTTATGTTTTTGGGAGGGTGTTTGTTTTCTTGGTGCCAAGCAGCTTTGCCAGCTTGGTTTGGCTTCTTTCCTAGTGATAATTGTCTTTATAATCATCCCATATGAGACGTATTGTTCATCTAAGTATAGCTTTTTTTTTTTTTTTTTTTTTTTTTTTTTTTTTTTTTTTTTTTTTTAACTACAATGTATTTCACTGTAAATCATTGTTGTCATTTTGTCTGCTAAGCAATAGATGCTATATCCCATCTGTTGAGTGCTTGTAGGATGTTATAAAATGACACATTAAGTGTCAAAGAGGCCAATGTTTAATCTATAGACTCTTGCTTGATTGCGTGGCCTGACATGCATACAAAAAAGAAATGTTCTCTGCTACCCTAAATGCCATTTTTAATTAATGCTCGCTGTTTAGTCTTGTGTTATTCTTTTTTTACTACTCGGTTTATTAATGATTGTTATTTTTCAATCTAGTTTTATGTTTTTTCAGTATTTGTTTTTATTTATTTTTTAAGGCAGTTTTAGGAATAAAATCAGAAATCAAGAGGAAAAAGTTACCAACAAAAAATTAATAAAAAGAGTGAAAGATAAATCTAAGAAAGGAAAGTGTGAAAGAAAGTAATATCGAACCAAAACCATGGAGAAGAATGAAGTCAAAATGCACCAATGTGGCACCGAAAATGCATTGTAGAGCTTTAACCATAAAGAACCTAAAATCTTAAATCCTTTTGCTTTTTAAAGATGGAAAGCAAGACAAATTGGGACCTAATTTTTTGGGGGGAGAGGGCATTCAATGATAATGATTATGTAATACATTTTAAAAAAAATTGAGGTAATATTGGTAAACATGTAAGAGTTGTTTTTATAATTTTTTATTTTGGATTAAGTATGAGAACAATTTATTTTGAAAATTATGCTTTCTGAAAATCAGCACTTGAGCTGGCTACTTGTGTTGCCCGTGAAGTCCGCCATAATTGTAATTTAGTAGTGGGCAGGAGTAAGTAATGAGAAATATGAATTTCAGTAATGTTGATAAATCAAGCAGTAGTAATAATTCAGAAAAGAAAGTGACTGTTATTTCAAATTAATGGCATATTTTCGTATAATTTTTATAGAAATAAGATGTGTATTTTCTGTTACAGCCTATCTTTACATGTGATGCCTGCAAATATTTTATTTTCTTGCTGTCTCTCGTGGTTTCACCTTTACAAAATTTGTAAAATTATCTACAAGGGAACTTTGAACTAGACAAGTAGGTATGTTTTTCATCGCACTTCTTCATATTTTGTCTGAATTTAGTATCTTATGTTCAATGCTGCATGTCTTTAATAATTCATTTAAAATTGTTTTAAAAGTTGCCTTTCAAGCATGGATATATACGGCAGTTTTAGGAAATAATTTATAAAGTCTAGTATCAGGTTTAGTGTAATAAATAGCATATTAGGTAACATTTTCTAATGTGCTATATAACCATGTTAATTTAAGAACTAAATGTGTAACTTGATTCAAAATACAAAATACTGCAAATTATTACTTATGTTAGTAGAAGTCTATGAATAAACTATTTTCTGACTTTTTAAAAAATAAACTAATTTTTTCAACCGTTATAAATGCTTAGTCTTTGCCTCTGTCATTGAAAATGCTTTTGTAGGATTTGCTGAATTTCTTATTTCCTTTACAATATCATATGGAGGCATCCATTTCATATCTAAAATTTTCATTTTGTTAGTGTATGCCCAATTATGTGTTGCATTCCCCCTTAATTCATTCAGGAAGACATCTATAAAAAGCATTTTTGTATGAAATATTACTTTTAATTAATTTATATTATCAAAACTGTGATAAAGTGAAACTAATGCCCCCTCTGTGTAGAAACATGCAATTTATTAATTGTATATATTCAATAACTCTTAATAGATGAAACACTTTAGTTAGCCACTTTTAAATATATTTATCGTCTCATACTTTAAATCATATATCTTCATTTATTCTGTGTCTCATGTAAATTAAGTATATAATATTGCAGGGCTGCCCAACCTCTATATAGTGTGACCTTTTTTTTCTGTATATGACAGTGAACCTACCATGGAATATATAAAAAAGTTAAAATAGAGTAAGAGAATACAGGTATCCAAATTTAAGGATAAATATTATACAAGATCATGATCACAGGATTCAATAATGAAATGTGGTTTTTATAGTTTAAATATGCACATTAGAAAGCTAATGAATGTGCAGATTTCGGATTTATATATTAGGGGCCATGTGGTAACTTAAGAACAGTGAAAAGGGAATTACTGCTACAAGTCAACTGCTTCTGTTAGAAATCAAGAATGTGAAAAAATGAATCTTTCCTTATTGAAGGCAATTGCCTTGCAATTGCATATTTTACTATTGAAGGCAATTGCAAGGCTGTCAGATTTATCATAACTGGATGATGAAGCAATGGGTCAGTGTCTTGTTTTTTAGTGAGAATCCATCCAATTCGCTATAAGCTTCCAAACATAAATGCATCTGGGAAGAGATAAAGTTTATTGTCAGGATTCAAAGCGGCTATCCTTATGGCGGTTTTGAAGTGATGGTGTGGACAGCATTATTATAGAAAGACAAAATTATGACATATCACATATAGGGCCATCTTGAGCACAGCCATATTGAGATACAGGGTGCTTAGAAGAGCACTCTAATGGTTGACTCTGTTGTAAAAAAGTCATAAAATTCTCTTATTCTGCAATTCCATTGACGAAGTTTTTCGTTTTATGGAAAATATTATGGTGCCTCATCAGATGACGGTCTTGGAGATTATGGAGTCAACTAGCCTGCATTTTCCGTAGACCTTAGCCCTCAGCCTCATTGAACCATATGGAAAAATTATGATGAGATGAATTACATTCCACAGTCTTTACCAAAAAACAAGTAAGGCATAATCCAAACTGTAAAAGAGGAATATAACAGTCTGTTTGTAGTAATGAGCATGCTATGATAATCTGATTGTTTGCATAACAGTTCAAGTTAGACAGATTTCTACTATGAAATAGGTTGAACTTTTCATCCTTCTTTCACGGTATGCTAAACTCTTATGTGTAACTTTCTACAAAAGAGTTTCTTTGAGAGTAACTTTATTTCCATACTGTTTATTAGGTATTATCTCTTGTTATGTGTCGGGAAATGTATCGTTAATGTAATTTCCAGGGGTAATTCTGTTTCAGGCTTATGTTAAGAGGTATATATATATATATATATATATATATATCTAAGGCGTAAGAAGTAATTCATATACATTCGTAAAATCAAATTTATTATTTATTTAATTATTAACAAATATAAAATATATACAGGAATATGAATTATTGGGTGCTGTCATTTTGGTCAGTTTGCAATAAATTTATCATATTTGTCTTAAAGTGCAGAAACGAGATTTTATAGAATTCTGAATTTTATTAAAAATTGGTGATTCTGAGGCCTTCCTTCAATCTCCTGACAAATATTTCTGATTTGTAGATTCATTCTTTCACATTCAAGATTTCTAACAGAAGCAATTGATTCATGGCAGTAATTCCTTTTTCACTGTTTTTTAGTTACCACATGGCCCCTAATATACGAATCAGAAATCTGCGCATTCATTAGCTTTCTAGTGTGCATATTTAAACTATAAAAACCCCATTTCATTGTTGAATCCTGTGCTCATGATCTTGTATCATAATATTTATCCTTAAATTCGGATACCTGTATTCTCTTACTCTATTTTAACTTTTTTATGTATTCCATGGTAGGTTCACTGTCATATACAGTTTTCCTCTGTATATCCATAAATGTCACTCATTCTTGTGTTTTAGACTTATGTAGATAAGTAGCTTACACTTTACTCAAAAACACATTATTATTGAGTTGGCTAGCCCTGTGATGTAGATTTTCATATTCTGTGACTAATACTTGATTGTTTCTTTCAGCTTACTTTTATTCAAAGTACTGTAGTTAGATTCAAGATATTGTTAGTCCAACCTTAAACCCTCGCAATGCTTGCACACATGCTCAAGAGTTTCCAGATTTCCAATATCTGCATGATGTTGATGTTCAACCTAAGAAACAGTTTTTTCCGAACATTAGAGATTCTCAGATCTTCAGAAAAAAAACTGTTACTGAAACATGCATTATTCCATTTTTTTGGCAGACAAGGTGTTACATGTGTAGTGAAACATCCAAGTATCCATGTTAGATATTGGTGTGGTGTTTTAGAGTAAAAATAAAACTAATTCTGTGTTAATGCTATTCATTTTGGTGTGTAATAAGTTTTACATGTGCAGATGAAAAAAAATCCTCTTATTATATATGTATATATATATATTGTCAGAGTTTCTCCAAAATGGCCATATTTTATGTATGTTTTATTTTACTAATAGGTAATTTATTTCTGATGTGTGCCCATAAAGAAAGACTCTTTCCATCAAACACATAAATTTGTTTTCCTTCTTTTTCATATTTATCAATTCTGAATAACAACTTGTTTTTCACTGTTAAAATTTTTGGAGTTAAGTGTTTTATTTTTAATTGGTGATTGTAAATAGCTGTGTATTGTATTATACTACTTTTAAATACATTTTACAAAAAAGCAGCTTGTGTGCCAAAAAACTGGGAGAAGGCACAACACGAGAGTCTTGCAATTTTGCGCTATATTAGATTATACACTTTAATCTTAGAAATAGTATTGTAGTTTGATGCTTTTTTTTAATTGTATTTTAAATGTGTGTTTGGTGCATTGTCTCTTCACCTATTTTAATGGTTGGAGTATCGTCACCAAAACTATTTTGAAAATCTGTGCTCTACATTTGGTGTACTCCTCATTTGGCCCTTTTTTATCCATCTTGATGAAGAGAAACATTAAAAACATGAATAAAGATACAGCATTTCTTGCAACAAAAATGTTGTATGAACTTATTTCATATTACTAGAAGTTTCTGATGCAATGAATGTTTCCTGAGTGCTTAATATAAAGAAAAATATGGCAATATTTATGAAGATGGGATGACATGAACTATTAATTATTGAATGTAATCTAAAGTATGTTTGAAATTGTGAAGAGTTTCATACATAATGCAGTGACAGTAATTTTGTGTAATACTTTGTACTACCTGAAAAGTTACATAAAAATAAACGGAAAAATTTTGAATATTAAATTGGTTTCACTACATTTTTCTATCTAAAGAAGTTTGGGGAAGCTATATATTTTCTTAAAATTTGGTGGTGGTACTCTACTGGACCCATTTTCAGTGCTCCCACATACAATTTATTAGAATGAATGATTACTATTTTTAACTTTTGTGTGTGTATATGTAAAGAAGTGTTCTTAAGTATTTCTTTGATTAAAAAGTGTTATGTACCACCAGCCAGAGATGAGTAATATATGAGTCATAAAAATTAAAAAATAATAAAAGTGATGTATTATTCTCTAAAATATTATTATTTACATCAAAAATACCTCTTTTCCTGCCTTCAGAACAGTGCATAATATATATACATGTTTATAAATGTTTACAAATTTATATTTTGCATTTTACTGAGCTTCTATATCTTGATATAGTGATTATTAAGACATTTAGTAAATTGTATGTTTATAGCAAAAATTTGTGATGTAACAATAATACGGAGCACTTGATGTGCTATAACCCTTGTAAAAATATTATGTTTATTTATTTAAATGATGGGTTTTAATATTGAATGTAATTTATTCTAATCCCAAGTGTATTTCTTCAATTTTTACTAAATAGAAGAAATCTTGTATGCAACAGTTTATAAAAACATTTGTTTGATTGGTTTTGTTTTTCAATAAGTAATATTTAAAAATTTATGTTTGAGGTTAATAGGTATTTCTCATCTCTGGCCATACCATGTTAAGAGGGACAGATTTAACTTTGGGACAGTGCCAGACTTCTTACACATATAGTGTATAAAATCATCTTTGATATATGCAATAAAATACAGAATAAATGTGCATGGTAATTTGCAAAACTAAATATACTTTTGAGTGTGCATCAAAAATTCATTTGAATTATAATTTCAGGTTTTCTGTTTTATGTTCTGCTTGTGATTCCTTGCTTTCTTCCTTTGAGCTAAAGTTCCTAACATGAAATTGCTCTGTCTTTTATGTATATGTAATAAATACCATTATAAGTTTAGCAGATTCCTTTTTCTTGTATATCATAAGCATGGAATTATAAAGGCTAGTTTATATGCTCTTAAATTTTGAACTTCACAACGAACATAATTCCTAGCAATGATTTTTTTTTTAATTCATTAAGTCCCTAGAATAAAAGTCTGTACAATTTTAAATACATTTGTTTATTTCTCGAGAGTTATCATTTTACTTTTGAAGTCAAATGAGAATTCTTATTCATTAATTGTTGTGTTTCAGAATTTTATCTTTTTCTGTGATAGTTAATTTTAAATAAATCTCTCTGTAATAAAGAGCACTTTTTTATGTATGTTTCTTCCAGTGGTTCTTTAAATTTTCTGTGGAGTTTTGCAATGAAGTTCACATATTCTGTAGCTACATCAGATATTTATTCTTTCTGAGGTGAAATTTTGATCATTTTGCAAGCTGGTAAAAAATCAATTGAATAAAATAGCTAGGAAGAGCAATAATTTAATTGTACAAACCTGAAGTAGTTTTGTGTAAGAGTAGTAGATATATGTGAAAATTTAATTTTTGAACATTCTTTCCCATGAAGAATTTGATAAAAAAATATACTATTTTCGATGAGGAATAGTGGATAAAAATAATTTATCTATTAAATAATGCACTTTTCAGTTCAGAGATTGCACTGAATAACTTGAGCATGTAAACTACACTTTTATAAAAATAAGTAGACCTTTAATGACTAATTTCATGAATTTCTTTTTAATGTGTTTCAAAAATAAAATTCTTAAACATTCAATAAAATATCATTGCTTAATTAACTTAAATTTTCATTTTAGTTTAATTCAGAAAGCTTTTTTTACTATTAAAATATATATAAGATTTTAAGTAAATTAAAATGTCTCACTTTAATTTTAAAATGACCTCCTGTTTAGAGCATTTTTCAGCTTCATAATTGTGTGTACTTTTGAATGATGATAGATTTCTGGCACTGTCCCTTAGTTTAACAGTGCCCAGTGTTGGGTTTTGCCATGTGCCGAAATGTGCTCTTGTTGGGAGGAATCATACAAGAATCCTCCATTTTGTTGAATTTTCTAGTTCATAAAGAGTGTTTATATAGAATCTGTGCAATCTTTGAACCTATCAGTTCTGTTTTGAAGTCTATGTATGTATTGTGTTTTATATGCAATTTACATTCGCACATTGATAAAATTTCGATTTATTTTGTATATATTTTAGGTTTGATTTTGTAGTTTAATGAATCTTAAGTAAAAATTTGTGATAAAAAGTCTAGTCATTTTTTTGTCATTTTTAATAAATATTTCTTTAATATGCAGCCTCTTGCTTTTGCTAAGATTGGATTATTTTGATTATATATTTCATGTAAAAAACTGTCATTTTTTACAAAGTTCTTTTGTTTTGTTTTTTAAATCAAATTTGTGTTATTTATATTTGTATTTTAAATTTTAGTCTTAGCTTTTCATCTATCTATTACTTTGTTTAGATGTAAAACTCAGGTTTGTGTCTGATATATTGTTTTTAGTTTTAAAAAAATGATTATGAGTGAATATTATTAGGACAATCAGGTAGTTATAATTAAAAGATTTTATTTGTAACATATATCAGACACTTTTTCCTCTAGTACCTGTACACAGTTCGCTTTTGTCTCAGTGCCTATGTATGGTTTGCCTTCCCTCCCTTTTTTATTTCATTTAAAATATCTCATGCATGATGCTTATTTTAGGTATATGTTTAATATTTTGCTTTTAATAAAATAATTGTGATGTACAGATTTAGACCAGTGCATACACATTGCATATATTAGATATGTTATATATGACTGCTATTTTAAATAAAAATGTGTTAAGCTGTGTTGGGTATATGAAGGAAAAATGATGTAGAGGTAATAGTGTATTCTTGAATGTTCCTTTTAGTACAATGCTTAAGTTTATTTTTAATAACATTATTTAAATGTAGCATTGCATTGTAGTGCACTCAAATTCTTTAAATCTTTTCTGTTTTAGATGTCTTCTGGATTTAAAATAAGCATTGTTCTCTCTATTTGAAATGTTTTCTTTTCCCTTTCATGTGTAATTTTATACAGTTACTGTTACATTTTTACTTTTCTTATTTAGTTGTTGACTGATTGTATATCATTATTTATGGAGCATTTTGAAAAGATTTCAGCTCAGTGAATAAAACTTTATTATAGTATTTTGAAATGTATTTTTACTAAGTGACTGCATTTTCCCCCGAAAAAAGGATTGCAAAAACTAAATACTTTGTGAATGATTATCATAAATCCTTGGATGAATTATAAAAAATGAACTGAAAGATGAAATTTCAGAATATGACAGTGTCAGAATCTTTTAGCAAAGGAATACAAAACGTAAATTTTGTATAGTGCCTATAGGAGAGGTAAAAGGACGATAAAAATATTATCCCGAGATCTTTTTCATCAGGCATATTTTTTTTAATAGTTCCTCACAGTGACAGTTTTGCATGTTACAGAACCAGTTTCTTTCCTGAATCATCTTAATAACATGACCAGTTTGCAAGATGAAACTTTTATTGTATAGGCCATATTTTTAAAATAAAATTTCATACCATTTTAACTAAAAGATATCATATGATCAAAATTGTGATATTCTTGTAGTCTCCCCCTTTAATGAAACCTTAAATCAACTACCAAGGTGTATATATATATGTGTGTGCGTGTGTGTGTATTGGGATTAAGCAAACAAAAAAATAATATCTCATTCATATAATGCTATTTATATTATTTATGAAAATTAATTGTAAACAAAAAGATTAATTATTGCTGTGAACTAATTTGCAATATCATTCAAATTCAAAAAGCATATGTAAATTAAGTATAAGCATCTTAATACAAGGAAAAGTTGTCTCAGAACATAAGTTTTCAATTACTCAATTTCTGTTTCGTCAACCGGGAGTACAAATAAGTCTCTGTTGTTTGACAAAAAAATGGCACCACTAGTAAATTAAGGTGAAAATTGTCTGATATAAACATGTCATATCGTAAGGTTAGACATATGCTAACTACATAACCTTGAAGTATTAGCGTGTTTTTATCAGCCCCTCCCCTCCCTTTTGTTTGTTTGTTTGCAAACTTTGAGCCGAATAAGCATCATTGCAGGAACTTGTTTAACCCTTTGACGGTTATGGAAATGAGCAATTTCCGTTTACTTAATTCGCGCAGCATTAGGAGTAAACAGTAGTCGAAAGTGGCAGCTGTTTTCCCCCGCCGTTCTTCCGAAAATGTCACCTTTCTCTGGCGATGCCGTAGATAACTCGCCTCGCGCGTTTTAAAAATTTCTTAAACTATTTGTAGTACATAAATAACAGTTTTTACGTACTTTAAAATAATTATTAACAGTAAATATAAATGATTATAACCAATTATATAAATAATAATAGTTAATTATAAATATAAGACAATATTAAATTGAAAGGACTAAATAAATACAACTAATGTAAAACTTTATGAAGCACAGTATAAATACAGTAATTACCTAAAAATCTTTTTGTGTGTGATATACTTTAAAACATGGAATTGCACATAATGGGGCATTACAGTCTTTGCAATACGTACGTGTTTCACGGCGAATTCTTTTTCCATTAACATCATTTTTGCTGCAACATACCACACATCGTCTAGTAGGTTGTTTCTAATAGAGAATTTCAGAAATATTTGTCACGCAAGCTTTCATACCTACATCACCAGTAAAACTAAATCGGCTAGGAGCGTGAGAACTTGAATCAATTATACACCACTGTCGAACACTCGAAAAATCTTCCTCATCGCTTGAATCGTCTTCTGAGCTTGAAATACTGTGAACAAAGTCTTCATCAGATTCAAAACTTGATAAGCTTTCTGTATCATAATCATCATCATACCTATCTAACTTTCGCTTTTGAGCCATTTTACTGTACAAACACCCTAAAAACCACGCCAAAATACGTATAAAATGAACAAGGTCGAAAAAAAAATCCACCTCCATTATGCAAAGAAATTCATGGAACTCGTACTGCCATCTGTAGACAGTAAAACTAACTAAATTTCACGAGTAGCATTCGTTTGAAACACAATCAGTGCAGAATAATAATGGCGAACGAAGTCAGCGCGCATTGGGGAAAAATTTCACTACGCGAGTAGTGCTCGTTACTAACCATTTCGGTCAAAATCTTGCTCCCGAGCGGAACTCGTTTGCGCGCATTATGAAGCACGATTCGATTGCGAGCTGAACTCGTTCATAACCATCAAAGGGTTAATTTGAAGAAATCTGCAACTGAGGTGCATCAATTGCTTGTAGAAGTATATGGTGAGGTTGCCTTCAGTGAGAGAGGTTGTCATAAGTGGTTTCCTATGAGGAAATATTTCATATAGGAAAGGGCTGGTTGAGGATGTTGATAATAACCAAAGAATTAAGTTAAGCATCAGATTTGTGTTGGCTTTACGAACGCATGAAGGATTAATTGTGGATGAGAAAAAGTGAAAATAAGCTTAATAAATGCCAATAAAATTCTTCCTCTTATCTTTGAAAATAGTCAAACTACATGAAACTGGATGCTGTTTTAATAATTCGAAAATTTACTTTGTAAATTATTTTCGTCTAGAAAATTTCTTATTTCTCATATAGATCCAGTAATTATCAGTGCTTGTCTATTCCCTTTTAAAACCATAGTATTAACATTAGTTGAGTAATGAGATAGTTATCAATCGATATGCATGCAAGTAAGCTGTTACAGTTTGAGTTCAGTATTTCTTGAATGATTTATGTATAGGTGCTATTTTTTAATTGTTATTGAATAACAGATTATCTTCTAAAGTAAAAATGCTGAAGTAAAATAATTGAAAAATGAATCACTTTAAGCTCATAAAAATATTCAGGCTCATTTAACATATTCAAAAGTCCTTAATCCGGACTCGTCGGGACTTCGGCGATTCCGGAATATAGATCATCAGTTTAAATCTGGTAAGATGGCATGCAGAAATTATAAAATTAAAAATATGAAACCGTAATTTATGAAATAAAGAGCAATTATGATCTAAAGGATATCAAAATTTACAAAAAAAAGCTTAATATTTATCTGTTTACTTTATTAAACATTTCTTTCAACGCGCGCATGCATAAAGTATACATTACGCATAGTCGAAATTAGAAAATTGCAACCAGAAAACTATTTGATTTGTATTCGTGATATTTATAATGACGAGGAATTTGATTTAAATCATATGAAAGACGGAGTACATCGAGATGAAATACTACATTTAGTAAGGAATTATAAGCCGAATATAATCAAATCTGCCCTGAAGATAAGGATAGTGCTGACAGATCAACTTCTAGTTGATTGCGCGCCGCGACGCCCCCCCCCCCCACGCAGAGCAGCGTGAAATTGATAAACAGATTTCGGAATGGTTTGAGAAACAAAGGAGCCTTTATCCATTTTTTGCAGCAATTCCACTTTTTGTTTGATAGACATCAAAACATGCTTTCCCTTTGTAGATCCTTTTCAGCACCAGCATCGGAAATTCTATTTGACATAATCGAAAGTTCCAACTTACTTTTATAAAATTGCTCTAACAGTCTGCAAAAAATAATAAGCCGGATCCAATTCGAAGATTAAGGAACAACGCAATCTGCAACATTAAATGAAATAGATAATTAGAAAAATTTTAGCTTAGCTTATACCGTCCGTTATCCATTAAACGCGCATGCGTAAACGTATTATGCGCATGCGTACACGCATATGCGCTTGCGTAAAGGTATTACGCGCAGAAAGTTTGTAGCTTTGAAGTCCTGATTATGGGTGTCTGCATTAACGACTTTTGACTGTATAGCTCTTTGAGATAAATCTCTGTTTTATAAAACCATTGAACTCGGAGCTTTCTATTTTTAAATTATTGAAGATATTATTATCTTTGAATTTAGTTTTCAAGCAGAAAAATATTGCCTTATGTTTAAAATATTCTTTCAACAGGTCACAAAATGGTCCATGGTTTTCACGTTAAAGACCGCTGACTTAAAAAAATGCAAGATTTCAAGATTACTCGCAATGTATTAAATGGCATAAATTATACTATTTTTCTCATCCTGCTCAAGCATAAAATCTCATAATTTTTTAAGTCTTTTAAAGCAGGTTTCCAAATTATTGGAATTTGGTCTTAAATTTAATGAAAGTTAACATTTTTTATTTCCTTATTATCTATAGATTAATTTCTGCCTCACAGAATTGCCAAAAGGTCTAAGAAACTTGCACCACCTCCTGAACTTTTCTAACAGTATGGCAATACTACGCCTGTGTAATACTGTTCTGCGCCCCATTTTTAGATTCCACAATAAAGAGAACTGAGGTATATAATGCCAGGGTGTTCGAAAGCGCTAACTATAATGCATTCCAAGTGCAGAATTTCTCAAAATATCACAGAGAAATTGATCAGTATGCTTCCAGTATTATACCTGAGAAAATTATATTTAAAAAAATCTTAACTTTTATGTTGTAAGCGCAAATGAAAGTTTCCAGTGAGTAAATATTCATAACTCATTCGATTACAGCAAAGCACTTGAGGGCTGTCTGCCTGCCTAAGGGAAAGGATGATGTCATGAAGGACTTTCTAAGGAAAACTATTTCGTATTTATGTTACGAATGGAAAAAAACAAGTATGAAGCCTGCCCATTCGCTTGGCTTCGAACTCAGGACAAACTACCTGTATTCAGCTATCTTAATCTTTCAGCCATTTGTGGGGTGATCCTTAAGTTAGCTAACAATCTATGTGTGAAGTATTTGGGGAAGAATTCGTTGCCAATTACGGGACAAATATGAGTCTTAAAGACATTTGGGAAGTTAGTAGAAGTAGTTTCGCTTTACGATCAATAATTATGCATCACACAAAGCAGCACTTGTTACTTTTAGCTGTTTGGTGAAAACAGCAATGATATACTACCATACGGCAGTTAAAGCAAAGGATGCCTGGAAGTATAATGTAGCAGCAGTTCACATTACCAGTGAAAATGACAGGCAAGTTGCAGATGATTTAGCATTAAGAATATTCTAGGACTTCAGAAATGCATTTTTTGGAAACATCCAGAGTATCGTCAAGTTAGCGAGTAATCACCAATTATTGGCAGATCCCTTCAGCATGGTTTCTATCCATATCTTGAGGTATCGTTGTTGAGTTTTACCAACAAATATAAAGTTT